CCATGCCTTGTAACATTGGGCGTAAGAAATTTATGTAACAACCAAGAATTTAGATAAAACCAGATTTATTCTCAGAATCTCTGGCAACATCATCATCTTTGGTAAACAGAATAGTAAGGATCAAAAACTGATTAATGTTCATTTCCCAGAGCTAGCAATACACTTGTGGAAATGTTTTGAACATCATCTTGTTAGATATTGTAACTATGGGGAATTTTCTAGTTTAGTATGGAATCATTATGCCCAGTTGAGACACCACACACACTTCACTTCTTCGGGTCTTTTCCTTTGGCTGCTCTTTAGCTCTCAATTGTGTTCACGGTTTTCCTTGATGTTGTCATCTGGGGTATTCAATTAAATAAACAAGGAGGCCATTAAAGTGAGGTGGCTCTAATGTCACCTCAGCCTACAAAATCTAAGCCTGTAAATGCCTCCAAGTTATGAAATAGAAACTTAACACAACTAATAACAAATAGTCAACTAAGCTTTAAGCTATAGCCAATCAAATAACTTCCTTTCTTTGCTTCCACACCTTCTCTATGTAAGTCTCTTTCCCCAGCTCCTGTCAGTGGAGGGCCCCTAAGTATTTCTGGTTTGGCATTGCCCAATTCCAATCAAATTTTGATCCAATAAACTCTTACACTTTTTAATATGCCTCAGTTTATCTTTTAACGGTTCTGACATCACTATCTAAATTTTTTGTTAGGTGTGCTCTGTGGCATATATCTTTGAAACATTTTCTTTTCACAAGCTCCTGCCCTTTTCTTTTCACAAGCTCCAACGTACCTACTTGAAAATTCCACTTGAATTCCTCTAATGTCAACTTAAATATTTCATAACTTTCCTAACTTAGTTCTTCTCTTCTCTGTCCATTTACATCCACCCTCTTGGCTTCCCCATTTCTTTATTTTTTTTAATTTTATTTTTTAAATTTTTTATTTTATGTAGGCTCCACACCCAATGGCAGGACTCAAATCCATGGCCATAAGACCAAGAGTTGCAGGCTCCAGCGACTGAGCCAGCCAGGCACCCCTCCCCATTTCTTTAGATGCTACTTTATATCCCAGACCACCAATCTAAAAATCTGGGTATCTTCTTTTATGCCCTTTCATTTATTTGTGTCCACCGCCCATGCCTTTCTAAATGTCAGACCCAGTCGGTTACTAAATCTTATTGATTCTTCTTTCAAGATGTTTTACATCCTTCTCTTGGTTACAGTGTTAGACTGGTTTTAGGCTTTATCCCTAAGTGACATACATCATCTTTGCCAGGCTTCTAACAAAAATTTTCCCTTTTATAATTTGCCTTATACTCCATGCTAGACTAGTATCCTAAAATCGATGAACACCATATTTTCCCTTCTCAGAAGTATTAATTGGTTTCTCAGTTCTTCAGGGTAAAGTCGGCTATCTTTCTCCAAGATTTAGGATGTTGACTTACTGTAATGGTTAAGATCAGGTTCAGCTGCAAGTGACAGACAATCCAAAATAAAAGTGACTCAAACAAAATAGATGTAAAAGTTCAGAGAGATCCAGGGCAGATTTGATACTCCATAGTATCACTTGCTTGTTCTATATCATTATTCCTTCATGTGTGACCTATATTCCCATGTTCATTTCATGGTCCAAAATGGCTTTCCTACTCTGTTTTCATTCCAGTCTGCAAGAAGAAGAAAAGGGCTTGTCTTTTTTAAGGAAATATCCTGGATGTTGTGCCTACTGCTGCTTACACCCTTTTGTGAAAACTTATTTTTCTGGCCAGTTGTATTTATATTCTGATGAGGAAATATCCCACTAAAAATTGAAAGTGCTATTCCTCAAGAAGTTGGGAAAATAGATAAAGGGATATGACCAGGAATCTCTTCCACACCTACCTTTTAGCTGCTGCTTCCTTACACCAGCCTGCCAGTCTAGTTAAACTCTCCCTGCGTCCATTTAAACATAAACTCTTCAAAACACTCCAGCCCATCGTTGTCTCTGTCTTTAGAGAAACTGTTGATTTGGCAGCCAATCAGTAACTTATTTTGTTAACAGCCTTACTAATGGGGTCTTAATGATTAGAGCATTGTTTAAATTTTCCTCCTTGTCTAATCCTTTCAGCTAGACTGAGAGAAGAACCTAAGCTCTACATATCCTGTCTCCCAACTGCGATTGCTTGGCATGTTGCCTGGCACGTAGTACAACTTAATAACTGTGTTCTAGTTTACCTAACAGACTGGCAGCACCAACCTGGCATATATCACTTCTATTCCTTTATTAGGGAGGGATTATGCATCATGCGTTATGATGCACAGTATATACAGTTTAGCTGGTGGGATAAGTTATAAAATACTAATATAGGTGAAATCTTATTTGGGAAAACATATCAACACATAGACTCCCTCCCTCAGTAAATCTTAAAGACCAACAATAGGTAATGGAAGGATATGAGAAAAAAAAGACCCTCAATTTTTTATTTTAAAAAAGCAAGTTTCCAAACATTCTGAGGACTGTTAGGTATAGAAAAAATAAATTTAGTACAGTATTAAAAGATATATTGGGCCCCATGACCTTTGAATTGTTTTTCCTGAAATGGCCGTGGACTGGGGTAGAGTAGACTCAGCTGATCTTCTTTGTAACCTACACCCTGTATTTATGAATTAAGTGTATGAAATCTGTGGTCATGGGAAGTATTTAACTGGGCATCACCACTGTAAACAAACACATAGGTTTCTCTTAATGTCATCATCTTTATATGATGAATTTGGGGAGGATGAGGAAGAGGAAAACCATGGAATGTATTAAACCAATTTAGGATTTTAGTTTGGAGGATGGATGCCTTGGTTGTGCATACTTGGGCAGGTTTCAGGCTTGCCACTTTCATGTCAAAGGAAGACAATGTACTAGAGAGGAAAAAATACTTAGGAATCAAAGATACTTTATTTCACCCTTCCCCAGGGTCCAGGGTAGAAGATAATCATAGTTATGATTGAATGCTTACTGTGTGACAAACACATGCTAAAGGGTACATCGAATACCCTCTCCTTTAATCTTTCAACAACCACGTGAAAATAGGTGGTACTGGGGCACCTGGGTGGCTCAGTCCTTAAGCAGCTGCCTTCAGCTCAGCTCAGGTCATGATCCCAGGGTCCTCGGATCCTGCCCCACATCGGGGTCCCTGCTCAGCGGGGAAGCCTGCTTCTCCCTCTCCTGCTCCCCCTGCTTGTGTTTCTGCTCTCGCCATCTCTCTGTCAAATAAATAAATAAAATATTTAAAAATAAAAAAAAGAAAATAGGTGGTACTATACCCTTTTCATAGAACTGGAAGTTCCAAAAGGTTAGTGACTATGATGACAGCAAGAAGGAAGAGCAGAATCTATTTCTACCTGTTCCTGAGCTCATTCTATTAAACTCTATTCAGCGAGGCAACAGTGAATTCCTTTAGTTGGGCCTCATAACAAAGAGAACATAGTCTCTAAACTGGAAAAAGTATTAATGTTGGCTTGTGAGTTGTTTATCAGAAAGGCCCAGTGGAACCTAGGTTAACTAATACATCAGGCTTCACAGCTTTTTACTGTCATTATATCAATTCGGTGGGGGAACTGATTAATTCTTCTATTGATGACATCATGAACAATTCCTCAGTTCCAAGGGGGGGAAATAATAAACCTTAGGATCAAAATTATTGGGGATCTCTTCTCTAGAACTTATCTCCCAGAAGTAGAGAAGTCCTCTAATTTGATAACATCTTTCAAACTGAAACCCAATCTAAAGTACTTAATACATATTTCAATATTACTTCATGTCGGAAATACTGTTCAAGTGTAATAACTATAATTATGAAAGATTTACATCACCACAAGCATCTGGAGATGCACACAGGTGTTATTAATCTACTAGTTGGAAGACTAAGTAGCTGGCATTAAGATAGTACTCTGTGTACAGGACTATTTTCTAAGCCCACCATTTGCAATTGATTACATGGACCATCTGTAACTGTGAATCATGTTAGGAGTTACCCCACTGACATTTATCGAACATTTGTCATGTAGCGAAATGTTTCGTATAGAAAGTTGACACATAATGGTTTTCAGGTTTCACTAAATCAACTTTATAGATGCCAGGCTGTAAGTACAACCCATTGATATGCAGTCTCCAGAAAAATACGGTTTATGATTTGATTCAAGAATACGGCCTCACCCCAAGCTCTCCGTGCGTAGACCAAAAGGTCTTTTGTGACCAGCGAGGTGACTTTGCTCCACCGTTTGTTCCCGTGGAACTATCTCTCGGGTGGCTTACAAAAGTGGTGAGGAAAGAAAATTTGGGAGATACAGCTAAAGATGACGTGGGAGCAGCGGGTCGCGATCAGTCGGAGGCTGGGGATTTGCCTATGGGGAAGAAACACGAAATCTCTGTTAAGCCTGTGTGTGGTTCACGGAGTGGGGGCTAGTCTCAATCGACGCGTATGCGCCACCTGTCAGACCAGAGGAGACGCTGGGGATGGAGGGGGGCGGGGAAGAGGGTGCCCCTGGTCCCGGAAAAAAGGCTGTGGGCCAGCGGGTCTCGCCTTTCGAAGCGCTCTGGTCGCGGTGCTAGCGCCGTGGGATGGGGGGGAACGGGGGCGAGTTAGATCCGGAGGCCACAACACGAAGCCTCCGGTATCAGGCTGGGAGACCGGGGGCTCCACCGCGTGCCCCTCCCCTGCGCCAGCCTCTCAGCCCCTCCTCCCAAACACGTGACCACAGCCGGCGGGTCTCCTCGCTCCGGCAGCGTAACTCGCTCTGTTTCTTCCCTCCCGCCGCCGTACCCTTCTTCTCCTCAGTTCCCATCCCTCTGCCCTCCCCCCCACCTCCTTCCCCACGCCCCAATAGCGGCTCGAGCTGAGGAGTGCCCGCCCCGCCACCCTATTCTTCGCTTGTTCATTGGCTGAGGCCTCAAGGACGCATCCCGAGGGCGGGTGGCAGCCATTGGTGGGATGAGCAATCCGAGTTCCCGGATGAGGGAACATTCAGCAGTATAAAGGGAGCGGGGAAGGCGGGAGACAGCGCAGTTTGAATCGCGGTGCGACGAAGGAGTAGGCGGTGGGATCTCGCTGGCTGTCTGACTAGTCCTTTCTCTGCCTTGCTTGTTTGAGCTTCAGCAGAATTCGAAATGGTAAACTTCGCGGAGGCGCTCGAAGACTTCGCGGGTTTTTGCCGATGGGAGAAAAACCCGTTACACACGGGAGATGGGGGTGAAGTGGCGACGGTTGGGAACGCGCGGAGACAGGATTTGGAAGAGCGGGGGGAGGTGTTTTGTCGGCGGCGAGCGGAGCAGCCTCCGATCTCGCGGCGGGCGGCGACGGTTGGGTGGCGCGCGCAGCGCCGCTGGGGGCCGGCGGGCGGACGGAGGCGCGCGGCCGCGGCGGGCGCGCAGCGGGGGGCCAGCGGGCGGGGTCGCCCTTGCGGCGCGCGGCTGGCCGGAGACCCCGGCTGGGCACGGGGCCGCGCTCGCGCCTGGGCCGCGCCGCGGTGGGGGAGGGGCACACCGCCCTGGTAATCCTATATTCCCCGTTCCTCCTTCGCTCGCGGGCGTGTGCGCGCCGCAGGCTGGCGGTAAGGCTGGGAAGGACTCCGGAAAGGCCAAGACAAAGGCGGTTTCCCGCTCACAGAGAGCCGGTTTGCAGGTCAGTGGTTGTTCGTGCAGTCTGGGAATTGTGGCGTTTTTCTTTCCACCTTTTTTCTTGTTTATCATCGCTCTGGATGGGCGTTTCGTCTTTGCGTGGGTGATGCGGTGTCGCGACTTGGTTTGCCGATACGATAAATATCGAAGGGGGGGGTGATCACGTGTGTCGATGCTGGGGCGCGTTGCTGCACCAGCGTCCATGCCCCTTGGTTTGGCGCGCGTGTAATATTAAGGTCTTTGACTCTAACATCTTTGTGCATTTATGTTTGTGTGCTTAAAATTAAGTTCCCGGTGGGCCGTATTCATCGACACCTGAAATCTAGGACGACCAGTCATGGACGTGTGGGCGCGACTGCCGCTGTGTACAGCGCAGCCATCCTGGAGTACCTCACCGCAGAGGTAAATGGGTGTACGCCTATAATATGGAAAAGGTTTGGGGGGGTTGGCGGGGGGAGGCAGCGAGAGGGAAGGAGGAAAGTGATGCAAGAAAAACTCCCAGGCCCTAAACGCGGCTAGAAGCTTCTGAGAACGCTAGAGGGGGCTGGTGTTCATTAAGGAATCTTACTGAGCTTCGTTGAGTTTGCTGCTCTTGGAAATAAAATTGCGTGCCCCCTTTTGCATGTGTTACCATTCAGGTAGTAGGGGAAGACGTCATTTGGTAGATTTATCTGCATGAAGATTTGATTCTACTCTCTGGGCTTTGGCTTTAAGGAAAGTTGGAAGGAGATTGATTAGAATCTGTCTTGTAGGTACTTGAATTGGCAGGAAATGCATCAAAAGACTTGAAGGTAAAGCGTATTACCCCTCGTCACTTGCAACTTGCTATTCGTGGAGATGAAGAATTGGACTCTCTTATCAAGGCTACAATTGCTGGTGGTGGTATGTAAATACTAAAATTTTATTCCTTTGTAGAAAAAATTGTGTAGTTCTCGTTACTAATTTTTAGTGCAGAAGACCTATTTTCACTGATACTCACTGTGGTTGCATTATGAAATTTGATTTATGTATATAACTTAATGATTTTTTACATACTTTGCATTTAAAGACATTTTCCAAGTTGAACATTAAACTGTCTTGGTTTTAAGTGTTGTGTGATTTTTAAAATATGTATATTGAAAAGTAGAATTAATCCCTCTTTCTCTCCTAGGTGTCATTCCACACATCCACAAATCTCTGATTGGGAAGAAAGGACAACAGAAGACTGTTTAAAGGATGCCTGGATTCCTTATTATCTCAGGACTCTAAATACTCTTAACAGCTGTCCAGTGTTGGTGATTCCAGTGGACTGTATCTCTGTGAAAAACACAATTTTGCCTTTTTGTAATTCTATTTGAGCAAGTTGGAAGTTTAATTAGCTTTCCAACCAACCAAATTTCTGCATTCGAGTCTTAACCATATTTAAGTGTTACTGTGGCTTCAAAGAAGCTATTGATTCTGAAGTAGTGGGTTTTGATTGAGTTGACTGTTTTTAAAAAACTGTTTGGATTTTAATTGTGATGCAGAAGTTATAGTAACAAACATTTGGTTTTGTACAGACATTATTTCCACTCCAGTGGATAAGCTCAATAAAGGTCATATCCCAAACTTAGTTGTGTTTTAAATTTGCTTGATTGTAATGGGAATTCCTTTCTTTTGAGTAGGTATCTCATACACCAGTAACATAAGCATATATCTCTTGAAATTGAACTTGGTTGATAAAGTCAGCTGACCCAAGTGTAATTTTTTTTTAATATTATGTAATGAGGTATTTAAAATTTTAAAACGTTGGCAGGAGCTGCAGTGGGGCAAGTTGCTGTTTCTTAGGCTAAGCTGACCCATCTCAATTTGTTGGCTGTGCCTATTCTGTGTGATGGCATCACACTGGTGGGCTATTGACGTGGATTTGGGGAGGGAGAGGGCATTATAGCTACCTCCACAGAGGGAACTTTTAAGTTTAGACTTTGGAGGTAATGTTTTTTTCATGTGCTACAGTGCTTTGAAGTCTACTTGAATTAAATTTTTCAGTAGTTAACATTTGGGGGGGAGCTGCATGCTATTCCTATTTCCCAGAGAGTGTATTTCTTTGCAAGTCCTGAGTTACATATTTGCATGCTAACAAATAGCTTGCTTGAACATTGTGAAAAAAACGAGTATTTTTTGGTTGGGTTGAGTGGACCATTTTGACACTTTGCGGGAAGTTCCTGTCCTAATTTTTTTAAAATTTGGATGTCCTTACCAAGCAGTAAGTGGTCCCTTCCCCCCCATCAAGGAGACCCAACATGACGTGGTTCAGCATTTCACTAGGAAGTGCCTTGAAAATGGGAGAAGGGAGAAAATCCAACAAGTCATTTCTGTAATGCTAATACATTAAGAAAAGGTGGCTCCTGCCTTGTTTTGATCACAAAGGATTAGGACTAGGGCTTTTAACCAGAGTAATTTGCAAACTGCAAATAAAGTGTTCATAGCTTCTGGATGTACCGAGAGACAATTTAATGGAATGTGGAACAGGAAAATGGTGTGTAGCTGAAATAAAACTACCGTGGTTTGGGTCAAACGACGGTTTAATGTGCTTCTGAACACCTGTGCCGGAAGCGCTTCATAGGGACTGACAGCGCGGTGCTCACCTGACCGAAATCTCCCAAGGCTTAGGGGGCCTAGAGGCGGGCCCTTCGATCCCTCGGATTTTTCCTGTAAACGAGCGTCCCCAGGCCCCATCTGTCGCCCCGGCAGCCCGGAAGGCGGGCTGCGGGCTGCGCTGGCTGCGCTGGCCGCGCTGGGAGGTCAGGGGGCACGGCGCTGCTAAGGCAGGAGGCGGGGTCCCTACCTCGACGGAATACCCCGGCGGGCAGCCGGGCTGGTATCGCCCGCCTACTCCCCCCCCCCCCCCACGTTGGTCGCCTCCGAGCGTGTTGGCGCCGCGCACGGACAGCCGAGTCGGCTGCGACTCCCAGGCCCGACAGCTCGGTCCTGGGGTCCGGAGGGATGCGGCTCGCGCCGTAGGGGCCCGCGGGGGGCGGGGAGGCCGCCGTGAGGAGGCGGAGCTGTGAGCCCGCCTGTCCGCCCGGGCCGCCGCCGCCGCCACGGTCCCCTGCTCTCCTCCCCGCTCGCCACCGCACGCCCCCACCCCGGGCCGGCTCGCCTCCGCCGCGGCCGCGGCGTCCATCCCCCCGTAGCTGCGCTACCGGAGAAAACGGAAGAAAGCGCAAGCCATGGAGGGGAACCGGGATGAGGCGGAGAAATGTGTCGAGATCGCCCGGGAGGCCCTCAACGCCGGCAACCGTGAGAAGGCCCAGCGCTTCCTGCAGAAGGCGGAGAAGCTCTACCCGCTGCCCTCGGCCCGCGGTGAGGCCCTCACTGTCCCTTCCTTCCCTACCTGCCGGGTCCCCAGACCGCCGCGTAGCCCGCCCCTGCCCCCACCATCGCTCCTCCGGGAACCGGCGGGACCCCCGGCCTGCCAGATCCCGTCGCAGGGCCCCCGGAGGAGCATCCCGACACACCCCCGCCCCGGCCCCGACTGTCCCGGGCCGGGCCTGGGAAGGGCTGCCCGAGATTCCCCCTGCACTAGCTTGCCTTCGAGATGCCGCCTCTCAGCTGGCAGACGAGTGTTGCCGGTTCTCCGGTCCTTTTTGTAAAGGTTTAGCTGTCATTCTGCCAGGAGATTTCTCTGGCCCTGTCTTACCTGAGTGGAGCTTTATATATATGGCTGTTTGGTTGTGTGGCCCCCTCCCACCGCATCTTCACCCTCAAATAAGGCCTAGGCCCTTAATGAAGTGAGAGGAATGGGGCACTCAAGTGGCTCATGTACAGGTCTCCATTCCACCACCTTTGAGGTAGAACACTATTCCCAAAGCAAACATTTCGAATACCTGAGATGACATTGCTTTTCCCTGGTAGAGAGTTTTTTTTAGAAGAGAAGAGCACAAATTTGGCAAGAATGATAGAGTCAGCAATGATTTCCTAAATAGTATCTGATTTGATAACACCATAATTATCGATTAATTAGGCAAATCACTAAGGAATGGTGTACTAGACTGACAAGTTGAATTCACTCTGTTCAGGTCCTGCTCTGGAGGCTTTAAAGTAATAGTAATAGCCAACATTTACTGAACACTTAAAGTGCCAGGCCTTGTGCCTAGTGTTTTATATGAATTATTTCATTTACTCCTCAGAACAGTCCTATGTAGAGATGGAATTCGTTTAACCGGGTTTACCCATGTGTAAACATTTTTTGATGAATGAATGAATGAATGAATGAATGAGTGAATGAATGAAAATATTTTACCGAAGGTCACAGAGTAATTAGTAGCAAAGTCAGAATGGCACTTGAGCTTTTCAGCTCCAAAAAGCCTTCTACCACTATGCTCTATTGTCTTGCCAGTTGAATACTGTTTCACTGGAGGTTCAAGGTATTTCTAAGTTAGGAAAATTAATGATAAGTTAATAAGAACGTGAGGCTGTTTTATTTTCTCAATTTTTTTATATTGTTGTATTCTTTGCTTTATCATTTTCATTACACTGCTGTTGAATACTTTACCAGAGAGGACAGGAAAAGGAAGTGAAAGAAAAGAAAGGAGTTAATATTTTTTAAAATGTGGCACAAATATGTAACAAAATTTACTTAATCATTTTTAAGCATATGGGTCAGTAGTATTAACCATTTTCATACTGTTGTGTAATAGATCTCTGGAATTTTTCATCTTATAGAACTGAAATTCTATACCAACAAAACAACTCCCCATTTTCCCTGCCTGCCAGCCCTTGGCAACACCATTCTTTATTTTTCTAAAATTGTACTACTTTAGATACCTTATGTAAGTGAAATTATACAGTATTTGTCTTTTTGACTGGCTTATTTCACTTAGCATAATTCCTTTAAGTACATGTTGTAGCATGTGATATGATTTTCTTTTTTAAGGCTATATAATATTTCATTTTACACGCCCCCCACATTTTCATTATTCATTCGTCTGCCAGTAGACATTTAGGTTGTTTTTATATCTTGACTATTGTGAATAATGCTGCTATGAACGTGGGTATACAAGTATAACATTGCAAGTTTCTCCTGCTTTCAATTCTTTCAGATACATACCAAGAAATGGGATTGCTGGATCATATTGGCAGCTCTATTTTTAATTTTTTGAGGAACTGCTATACTGTTTTCCAAAGCAGTTGTACCATTTTACATTCCCAGCAGTGTGCAAGAGTTACAGTTTTTCCACATCCTCACCAAAACTTGTTTGTTTTTGATAGTAGCCATTTTGAAAAGTATGAGGTGATATCCCATTGTGGTTTTGATTCACAATTTATTTAATGATAAGTGATGTTGAGCATATTTTTATATGCTTGTTGACTTATTTATATCACCTTGGAGAAATGTCTATTCAAGTCCTTTGCCCATTTTTTTAAAATAACATTATTATTAAGGTGCTGAGTTGAGAGTAGAACTCAGGTGATTGACAGAAAGTAGTTTTTTTTTTTAAGATTTTATTTACTTATGGGGGGCATGTGCATGCACGTGGGGGGAAGGGCAGAGGGAGAGAGGGAGAGGTAGACACTCCAGCAGACTCCATGCTGAACACAGAGCCTGAGTGGGGCTCTATCCCATGACCCTTAGATCATGACCTGAACTGAAATCAAGAGTTGGATGCTTAACGGACTGAGCCATCCAGGCACCCTTGCCCATTTTTTAATTGGATTATTTGTTTTGTGGTTGAGTTGTAGAAGTTCTTTATATATTTTAGATATAAACCCCTTATCATATGATTTACGCATTTTTTCGCCTATTCTGTAAGGAGTCTTTCATTCTGATGGTTGTGTCCTTTGATGTACAGAAGTTGTTAAGCTTCACGTAGTCTCATTTGTCTGTTTTTACTTTTAATAAAAGTCTGTGCTTTTGTTGTCATATTCAAGAAATCATTGCCCAGAGTTAAAATTTGCATACTGTATGAATACATGATTTCATTTTAACCATTATCCAGTACTAGAGGGACAGTTTTAATATTAAGCAAGTAACCACTCAAGACAGAGTACCTTGGCTTTTGAAGCCTATCTTCTCCACCTACTGGCTGTAATCTTAATCTTGGGCAAGTAGCATAAACCTCTCTAGCCTTTGCTCTTTGATCTGCAAAATGGGACAGTAATGTACTGATTTCATGGGGCTTTTGTGAGGATTAAAGGAATTAATACATGGAATGCATTTAACAGTAAGCACTCAATTTTTTAGTATCATTTCTATTTAACAAGTGTGAAGCTCTGAGAAGCTTTAAATTTGTAGCTTGTCATTCTTATATAAACAATTTGTTGTTTTTGTTATTTGTTTAATGCTTCATTGAGAAACTTTATTCTTTCAGTGTTTTTTTTTTCTTAACTAAGCTCTGTGCCCAACATAGCTTGAACTCACAATCCTGAGATCAAGAGTCACGTGCTCTACGGACTGAACCAGCCAGGCACCCCTATCATGTAAGCAATTTGAATCAGTCTGCTAAAGGATACTGTAAGATATAAAAGCACAACACAGTTGTTGCTCTTAAAGACATGAACATAGAAAACATTAAGAAAAATAACAGTGAAAATTAATAGTACAATGTTTTGTAAAGGCAGTCTGT